ACACTGGCATTGCTGTTGACATCTGGGTATCACAAATGTGACCTCTGGAGCATCACATCCAAGGATGAATTCCCTAGAAATTGCAACATAAGCAGTAGTAACAACAATAAAGGGAAAGGTGAGAAATTATTGAAATTTAAATTTTAAAAAAATGTTTCAACATTTGCCTTGTATGCAGCCAGCCTGGCCAAGCCGGGTTCGATTTTTCTGCCCCTATTGGAGAGCCCGGCAAGCTACCGAGAGTGTCTCGCCCGCATGGCAAAGCCTGGCAAGCTACCTGTGATGTATTTAATATGCCAAACACAGTAACAACAAGTCTCACAATGGAGATGTTACTGGGCCCGCTCCAGCAAATCGATGAACAATGGGAGGACAGTGACAGTGACAGTTTCAACATTTAAATTTTAAGGCTTTGCTTAGGGAAAATTTCTGAAGTTTTCATAGTTGTGCAGGAAAAAAAGAAACACTGACTTTTAATGCTCTATGCTTCTATGACAAGGAGCTAACAAAAAGAGTCAATGATTCTAAAATAAGCAGGATGAGAAAATTTTAGAATCAATGAAAAAATAGAAAAATAATTGACGAAAACTAATGAAACCTAAAGCTTATACTTTTGAAGAAAAAAAGGAATAAAACCAACAAGGCTTTATGTAAAAAATGGATATAAAACATAAAGAAGCCATACATTACCAATATTTGAAAAGGGAGGAAACATTACAACAGAAACTAGACATTAAAAAATAGTAAAGAAATATTATGAATAATTTTGTGCCAATAAATTTGACAACTTAAACAACAAAAAAGGACCTATTTATTAAAAGGTACAAATTCTTTAAAAGAAAAATCTCTCCACCGACTGACCACAAAAATGAATTCAGAGGGACCAGGAGGGAGGAGGCCGGGGTCAAATAAGTCCAATGAACTGTGGTAGACAGATCTTTCTACCTTTCTCGTAGGTGTGATTTTGTCGTGGAATCAGTATGATAATGTCTATTTAAGAGGCAAGAAATTGTACCCCTAAAACATACATCTATGTAAAACAACAGTGACTAAAAAAAATATACTGGAGCCAAAAAAAGTGTCCTTTTTGAATATTCAAGGGTCTTAAAAGGACTAAATGAAGTAACAAATGTAAAGCACTCATTCTTAAAATAAAAGAAAGAAATGGAATAATTATTGACTTAAAACATTGAACTGTGGGTCTTTAGAAATAGTACAGGTGGTATGATATTTGCCTTGCCCATGGCCAACCCTAGTTTAATCTCTGGAGCACAGCTGGGCCTGAGCACAGAGTCAGGAGTAAGCCCTACGCACCACAGGGTGTGGCCCCATACAAAATAAAACCAACAACCATCTTCTAAAATTGTCATAAAAACTTTCCAGAAAAAGAAAGCTATTAGACAAGAATGCTTTATGTTTGATTTCTATTGCTTAGGGAAAATTTGTATAACTTGTATAACTTCTATAGGAGCTGGAGTGATAGCACAGTGGTAGGGCATTTGCCTTGCAAGCTGCTGGCCCAGCCAAGTTGGGTTAGATTCCTCTACCCTTCTGGGAGAGCCCGGCAAGCTACCAAGAGTATTTTGCCCGCACGGCAAAGCCTGGCAAGCTACCCGTGACGTATTTGATATGCCAAACACAGTAACAACACCCGTGACGTATTCGATATGCCAAACACAGTAACAACAAGTCTCATAATGGAGACGTTACTGGGCCCGCTCGAGCAAATCAATGAACAACGGGAGGACAGTGCTATTAACTTCTATACAAAACTCCTTATTCTAACTAAATATATAAGGTCGACATGACCTATATACCAAAATCAAATATTTATATTAAAATGAAAATTATTATGTATTTATATCCTTTATGAAAAAACACAACATATTTAAGAAAATCCAGAAATGTATAAGGCATAGTATACCAATAAAAATGGATTTATGTATATAGTCAATCATCTGTATCTACAGATTCTGCATTTGTGGATTCTACTACAGATGGCTTAAAAATACACACCCTGTGGTTAAGCCAATCATGGCTGCAACTGTGATGAGTATGTACAGAAAATTTTTCTTGTTCTTATTTCTTAATGAATACACTATAAGAACTATTTGCATAGCATTTACATTCATTAGTATTATAAATAAGCTAGAGGTGATTTCCTCTACACTAAGATATTTATTTATTACCTGCAAATACAATGCCATTTTATTAAAAGAATTGGAGCATCTGTAGAATTTGATGTCTGTGAGGGTATTAAAAATAGTCCCCTCCTGGAAAGTAAGAGATAAATAGATATTAGTCAACACAGAAACAAACAAAAAACAACCCTGCCCCCCCAAAAAACATACACACGATCAATTGACTTCTGAAGAAAAATGGTAATAGAATGAATAATCTACATGTAAGACAGAAAGTCTTCACCTAATCTTTTATTTAATAACAAATAAAGATATTATTTACCGAAATAAATTCAAATATAGTTGTCAAAACTATAAAATCTCCAACAAAAAATAGAGAAGATGATGGTATCAACTTTGGTGAAAGTAAAGATTTCTGATTCTGAACAAGTCAGGTAGCGTAAATAAAAGTGTTAATAAATTAGGTTTATCAGAATTAAACATTTGGAAAACAGCCAACATATTGAAAAGTCAAATCATAGAACGAGAACTAAAGGTACTTTATTAAGTATATTTGACAAACTTTTCTGCAGAGTATATATTTAAAATGACAACATAATAATATGACAAATAAAGAAATAGGGAAAAATAAGTCAAATACTCAAACAGATACTTTTTACAAAAGAAATAAGAGAAATTCCTGTTGGGTGCAGGAAAACACTAAGTATTTGCAAGGAAGTGCAAATGATGGAATTGGGATACTTCTATGTAACTATTAGATCAAAAACATTAAATAGTATTAGTCATGATAAAGGTTCTAGATGCAAAGCAACTAGAACTCTCAATATTATTGCTGGAATGTGAAATGATAAAAACCAAAACTAGAAGAGACAGATAATTCTAAGAGGTACTCATTCACTTCAGCACCACTAGGTCAGTGGTTTGATATTACTCAGCAATCTTATCACTCACTTTAATATATTTTAAAATAGTACAATATCTTTAGGAAAAAACAGTAATCTATATAGATTATTATTTTTATATAAAAGTAGTCTATATATTATTTTATAGATAACAATTGTCTATATAGATTATTAATTTCAGTATGTAGATGCTTGTACCTTCGCAGACAGACTGAAACATAAGCCAGTATTAGTGTGACTGAAAATGTGGTAGATGAGGTATTGCTACCCTCTTGAAGACAATACCATGGGCAAATTTGCCGTAATGATTCCATGTTCTAATAGAGGAAATTAATTTTGATAAAACTAGAAAAAAAAGTTAGGAACATGGAGACGATGCATGGGCTAGGGTATGCACAATCTGAATTCATCCCAAGTACCACATGGTCTGCAGAACATCAGGTATTGGGCTGTAGAGAGAGGTCCCTGTGCATGATGAGGTCTTGGAAACTCAAGGATGGGTCCAGGGCGGCTCAGGTGATATGGGGCATTGCAGGGCCTGACAAGCACCAAGTCACTGAATCACTCATTTGAGTGTGAGGCCATGGGCTACCTGAACCACAGCTTGGGTGACTATGTCAAACTTGCAGTGGTGGGGGGGAAGACTTTTTCAAGTTTATATGGGAGAAGCATGCTGGATGTGCAAAACAAACACAATTATATCTTTTTTGTGTAAAACAGACTTAAGTTAGGTTTCAATTATAATGCAAAATTGTCAATAGCTGTGAATGCTTGAGAAGAACCTCACCATCTGGCAATTGATGGCCTAGGATTGTTCCTCCCATTGTTGGATAGTTAACACTCCTCAAAGTCCATTAATGCCAGGAGTAACCCTTAAACTGAGTAACACTGTCAAACAAACACTGTTCTCCCTTTGTTCATCTATTTGCTTCACTGGGCCCAGTAATGGCTTCATTTTGAGACTTGTTGCTGTGTTTGGCATATTGAGTGCCTCATGGGTAGCTCGCTAGGCTTTGCTGAAACTGAGTTAACTGAGTAAACCACGTTGCAAATCTTACAAAAATGCAGTAGGAAGCGGTCTTGAATCTTATGAGAACCACTGACTGAGGAGATAAAAAGAAAACACGAAATTGGTAAGAAATGGTTATTTGAACCTGGGATTGCAAAAAAAAATTATAAATTCTGTTGAGTTAAAGGGAAGAAATAGGAACTGAAGCAGACGAACTTTCTAGTCTGAAAATGAAACAATTTCAATATATGTCTTATAACAACGGAAAACTTAATTTTTAACTTTTTTTATTGGTCATGGACATTGCAGAGGAGCAGTGGGTTTTTGTTTTGTGTTGCTCTTTCTTCCCCAGCTATCAGCCCCTCACTCAGTAAGTCCCATTTCAGTTCTGATTTGCTAAGTTTCCCCGGGCCATCTTCTAGGGAGTTCCCTGGAGGCACTCAGCAGCCCCGCAGGCCTTTGGGACCGGTCTCCAAGGGTCACCTGAATAGACAGCGGGCAAACTGTTCTTGCTTGACCCAGCTCAGTCAAGTTCCTAGAGTTGCAGATTTCTCAGGAATAACGCTTTCCAAGTGCCGGCTTGCAAGAGCTCGCAAAACGCTTTCTTAACTCGGACTTTCTTGAAATGAAAAGTTCAGCGAAGAGATCAAGCTCAGGAAAGATTGCTTCTTAGAGGGAGGGGCTTTGACAAGGGCCTCCCCGAAGGAGGACGCCTTTAGGGCCAGTTGCCTGGACGTTGGTGGGACTAGAGCCCGGGAAGGGGGAGGGCGGGGGTGTGTTCTCTCTCTCCCTGCACGGTCTGGGCTGCTGAACCCGAGCCGGTGCGGACTGTCTCCTCCTCTTCCCCAGCAGCTGCTGCTCACTCAGCTCACAAGTCAGGGCCACGGGCCAGGAGCGGCAGCGTCTCCTCTGGGCTCTCCAGAAGTGGATCGGCTCGGGGCCACCGCGATGCCAGGGGCGGCCGGGGTCCTCCTGGCCTTGCTCCTGAGCGGAGGCCTCGGGGGCGGCGAGGCGCAGAATCGGCGGCAGTCCCAGGCGCATCAGCAAAGAGGTACAGTCGAGGCACGGGCTTTGAATCGCATCTTTTATCTGCGGAGGAGGTCCCGCGCCGATTCCTTCTTTGGGACTCAGAGTCTGAAAACTTGGGACCGCTTTCAGATTTGGCTGGGGGAGTGCGCTTCGGGGCCACCAAGCTGGAAGCAAGTTCATCTCCACTCCTAAGTGGTTTGGGGTAGAGGGGGATTTCCTTCCCTCCCCAGCTCTTTCCTCCCGAACTAAGAATTAGGAAGCACTTTTCACTGTATGTACGTTGTTGAGAAAAGTTGCTTCAGAGTAGATACTGCAAATTGGTTTCCAAAATCTTTCCAGGAGAAAGATTTTGAAAGAGTTAGATTTTTTTCCCCTCCCTTCTCCCAATCAGCTTCCATCCCAGCAGAGAAAAGGTTTCCTAAACTGCGGTTCTTCGTGGAACTTTTATAGAGGACTGCTGAGGCGTCTTTTTTTTTTTCCTTCTTCCCAATTTACCAGGAGACTTTGTTTCCTATCTGCAAAGTTGTGTGGCTATTTTTCTTTCATGGGATGAACTTCTCCAGCCTTAACTTTGCTCTGCTCGCACCCTGCCACAAGTATTTTATTAGAGTGAAATATCTCCTCGCGCTTAAACACAGACGAGACTTCTGTGTCATCTGTGTTTTAATTAAGACCACAGTGACCAAATATACACTTCGGGGGATGCTAGAGAACAGTTGTATTTAATGTAACCCGAATTATCCTCTTCAGAGGGCCTTAATGTTTATGTGCATATCATTTCTGACTCTTGGGAGTCTTTGAAAGTTGCTTTATGATCATGAATTTTAAAAGAAGCACATGTGCAGCATTTTAAAACGTAATTTGTAGGGCATCATTCCAGCAAACAATTTTGTAAATTGGAAAGCATGTATCAAAGTGGAAAAGAAAAAGGAAGAAATATTTAAGGTTGGGTTTCAACTATCAGATCTTTACTCTAAGGGTACACAATCTGAAGGCATGAAATACTAGACAGTTGTGATGAGTATGGTTCTGCTGAAGTTTTGAAAACACTGATTAACTGAATTAAGAAATATCTAAATTCTCATACTTCTTTTTCTTATAGAATAGAATTTCAAGCAGTTGTCTTATTTTAAAAAGGGCAATAAATACCTAAGCCTTCTATAGTAATAACTCCCTGATTCAAATTCCATGATGAAGTGACCTTAAATTTACCATAATAACTTTTTTCCTTCTAGTTTTGCTTTTCTTTCCCTGAAAGATGACATGGAATCAGTATCGCTTCATTAATAGAAGCAGTGATTTGGGGAATATTCCTGGCAGTTGATTTTTAAAATACTACTAAAAGAATTGTCCTAAATAAATTGTTTATAAAGATCAGTCAATAGAGCTCAGCTCCAGTACCCTGTAGTACTTGGTGGCCACTAGGCCACCGTGATCCATGCTGAGGGGGGCTGTGTGGGGCCCAGGATCAAACTCAGGACCTTGTATATCCTGGGTAGTTGCTATTTCCCTAGGGCCATATATAATATTTTAATAAACACAATGTTCTAGTGAAACAAGGCTAGGAGCATGGCAAAAAACTGGTCAGGAGCTGAAATCCTTTTCACTGTTCACTTGGAGAGAGGGGCTGAAACTCAAAATGTGTAAAAATTGCTGAGAATTTTTTAGTGTTTGTCTTTGCTTTGATTTGTCCCCTTCACTATCAGTCCATATTCTCTCTCTCCCTGCTCCTATTCCCTCCCCTCATTCACTCAGGTTTCTATGGTCCAAGCATATAGTGAGGTGAGTGCCTAAGGGAGACTAGATTGCTGTTCCATGGAGAAATCACTTGAATGCTATAGACTTTTATTAAGTGATTATTATTATTATTACTTTAGAGTCACACCTTGCAGTGCTCAGGGCTTACTCCAATAGGGTTGGAGGACCATATGGGCTGCCAAGGATCCCACCCACCCACCCACCCACACTGGCTGTTAATGCAAGCAAGTGTCATATCCAGATGCACTGTTCCCATCCCTGTCTGCAAAGTATTTTCTGCAAAACATATATAACATAGCATTCATTTTCTGCATTCATATAATTATTATTTTATTTTTGGTTGATTATAATATATTTTTAGATGTGCTCAAGAAAAAATGATTAAGACACATTAATATTAAAATTGTTCATGAAATGTGTTTATGATACTTTAAACTTGATAGGATGTCAACAATTTAAAGACATTTTATATGGTAATTTCATAATCTCATCCTCGGCTACTACAGTTCTTTTGGATAAATTTTTAAGGCTGTATTAGCTGTGACTAAAGTCTAAGTATCTTAGAAATTAATATTTATTTATTTATTTGGTTTTTTGGGCCATGCCCTCCTGTGCTCAGGGCTTACTCTTGGCTCTGCACTCAGGCATCACTTCTGGTGTGACTCAAAGGACCATAGGGCTTGCTAGGGATCAAGCCTGATTTGACTGCGTGTAAGGCAAGCACTCTACACTCTGTACTGTCTTTGAAATCATCACAAATGAATTTTTAACAACAAACATTTTTATTATTATTTTTGCTAAACTTACCATTTTTGGTACCAAGAATTATTTTCTTTTATTTTAGGAGGTTTTGTGACTTTCTTAGTGTTATGTTATAAATCTCAGCGAAGAGCATTGGTTCTGCATTTGATTAAAGAAGTGTTTTTTGACTATTACCAGCTTTTTTCTCTTTTGATTATACTAGAACTGATCTTTTTGGCCAACCTCTCATTTTTTAGAGTGAGTTTTGTTTTCCTTTTGAGCATCCAGCTAATTTACTGGAATGTTGACATGAAGTAACAATTTTGAAATATTGCAACAGAATTAGAAAGTTATCACATTTTTTTGCTTCTTTTAATTTTTCTTTAATGGTGTGTAGTTTTATTGTATGCTAACTTGTAGTATGAATATGTTCCAGATATATTCTTTGGTTAGATATAATACTGAAAAAATAGCAGAATGAGAAAGTCAAAGTGTTTCTGTATTCCAACAAGGCAGTAGGGTGAAACCTTTTCTTGATATTTTTGTGAATAACATGGAAATGAAAATGTAATGGTAGGTAAATTGAAATTGACTGAAAATAGATTCCAAAGAGTTTTTAATTCAAGGTCAATCTGGACAACATCTTTACTTCAATTCTTTTTTCGTAAATGCTCGATTAAAATGATAAAATTCAAGTTTTTCACAACAGCAAGTGGTACAAAATTAATTTGAGTGGCTAATCTGACCAATGAGAGAGAATCAGGAGATTGAAAGGTATTTATTGCCTTGATCAAGAAAATAATCTTATAGAGTTAATTTTGTTGTTTGTATCTAGATGTTAAAGAATTTCATATGCCCTCTTCTGGAATTTTTTTGTGTCCTTTATGAAAACAGAAATGGGTGTGAAGATGAAAAGGACAGTTTATATTGTAGGCAAGTTCAATATGAATATACAGTGTGCCATATAGGTCTGTGTCTACTCACTCATAAAAAATTCATAGAATCAGATGAGTTAGTTTAGAATCTATTTTGGTTTTTCATTAAGATATGAATATACAATCAAAGAAGGAAGAATCAAAAAATATTTTGAAGAATGTCTATTTTTATTTTGGAGAAAGATTTTAATTTGGAAGAAGAAAAATGTAAGAAACCATAAGATGTATCCTCAGATTCTTTGGAGAGTTTTTTTATTTGGAAAATAAGGAAAACCTTTTTTTTTCTAAATAAAATTTAAACTTATAGTTAAAGAATAGAAAAAAAAAGGAAGATGAGTTGAATAGAATGGGAATCCCACTCTCCCTACACTGTCTATTCAGAATTATGCAGAAATAATAGGATTGTGTTGTAGAAACTTAGAAATGTCCACATAGTGGTCAGACGTGCAATTAGTTACAGATGATTTAGGGTAAAATGGTTCTAGAGAAAAGAACTAAGACTCACAAAATCTCTCATTCTTTCCAAAGTGTAACATTGTAGTTTTGTAATACTTATTTTTGGAGTTCAGATCTTTATTTAAATTCTGAATTCTTATAGATATATGAACTAAGTATTAGATGTACATAAATGTGCACTGATATTGCTTCTGGCATTTAAAATTAAGCCATATTTTAGATGTATTTCTTTTACTTTTGGCAACAGTAAAGTGGTAAGTTAAAAATTAATATAAGTTCCCATACCATATCACCATCAATTGCACAATTTTAAAACATTTTGTGTATAAATGTAAGAATGCTTTGTAATTTATTTCAGAACTTTTAAGGTATTTACTGTGACTGTAAACCTGAAGTTTAGTTGTGTGTGTTTGAGGAGAGTTTTCTTCCACATGTTTATAACTTCACTTTTAAGATTATATACTAGACTAATCAATTACTAAGATAGATTCAGAAGTGATAAAATGTGTGGCTGAGAATAAGATCAGTTAACTGACTATTGTAATAGGTATGGTAGATTATTAAAATGTATATATGTATTATCTCATATAATCAATGTGTCCAAATGGATGATGCTTTATCTTAGTTCTAAAAATATACTACCTTTGGAATACATGCAGAATAGTGAACTGTATCTACACCAAGACTTGCTAGGATTATGAGGAAAATATGCACGTTCTTTGTGAATTCTTGGTTTCTGGAATAGTTAGTGTCACCTACTCTGTAAAAACTACCGTCTGTCCTTTGGACATACTACTTTGAAACTCAAATAAGTTTCCAAAATTTCTACCCAATAAGAGAGTACAAATTTATCTATAATGGGAAGGATATCTTTAACTTGGAAAATGAATTCTGAAGTGTTGGTCCACAACATGACTCTGATTGTAAGGAGAGACAAAGTAGAGGTAGAATTCGAGACTGATAAACAGAAATGTTAATAAGCAATGGGATTTACACACAAAACTTTTGGAGCTTTCCATTGCTTATATCCAGCTTTTAGGTTGGCTAACAACACATCCTCTCAGTGATTTTTTTTCCAACAAGTTGTAGAATCTGAATTGATTTCACCTTACAGTGATATCATTTCATTTCA